GATATATAGTACTCTCTTTAAAATGTATCATGTCTACTTTCTAAAAGTGAAACTTATATCTATTTCTCTATGTTGCACAATAAAAATTTACAGTTTGGAATAATGACTTAATTACCTCTTTTTGACTGTTGTTGCTAAGTGCCGTCAAGTCGGTTCCTACTCATAGTGATCTTATATACTACAGAACGAAAAACTACCCAGTCCTACACCATCCTCATGATCATTGTTATGCTTGAGTCCAATATTGCAGCCACTGTATTAATCCATCTGGTTGAGGGTCTTCATCTTTTTCTCTGACCTTCCACCTTACCAAGCGTGATGTCCTTCTCTAGGGACCGATCCCTCCTGATAACATGTCCAAGGTATGGGAGACGAAGTTTCACCATCCTCACTTCTAAGGAGCATTCTGGCTATACTTAGACAGATTTGTTCGTTCTTTTGGCAGTCCGTGGTATATGCAATATTCTTCGCCAACACCATAATTCAAACGTGTCAACTCTTCTTAGGTCTTCCTTATTCATTGTCTAGCTTTCGAATGCATATGAGGCAGTTGAAAACACTGTGGCTTGGATCAAGGGCACCTTAGTCCTTGAAGTGACATTTTTGCTTTTAATACTTTAAAGAGATCTTTTGCAGCAGATTTGCCCAATGCAAATATCTTGACTGCTGCTTCCATTGGTGTTGATTACGGATCCAAGTAAAATGAAGTCCTTGACAATTTCAGTCTTTCTCATTCCATCATGATGTTGCTTATTGGTCCATTTGTGGGGATTTTTGTTTTCTTTATATTGAGGTGTAATCCATACTTAAGGCTGTGGTCTTTGATCTTCATCAGAAGTAAGTGCTTCAAGTCCTGTTCACTTTCAGCAAGGAAGACTGTGTCATCTGCATAACTCAGGTTGTTAATGAGTCTTCCTTCAATCCTGATGCCCTGGTCTTCTCCATATAGTCCAGGTTCTCGGATTATTTGCTCAGCATGCCTATCGAATAAGTATGGTTAAAGGATACAACCCTGATGCACACCTTTCCTTACTTTAAACTACGCCGTATCCTTGTTCCGATCGAATGACGGACTCTAAATCTATGTCCAGGTTCCTCATGAGCACAATTAAGTGTTCTGGAAATCCCATTTTTCACAATGTTAGCCATAATTTGTAATGATCCACACAGTTGAATGCCTTTGCATAGTCAATAAAACACAGGTAACATCTCTCTGGTATTCTCTGCCTTCAGCCAGGATCCGTCTGACATCAGCAATGATATCCCTGGTACCACGTCCTCTTCTGAATCCAGCTTGAATTTCTGGCAGTTCCCTGTCGATGGACTGCTGCAATGACTTTAGAATGATCTTTAGCAAAATTTTACTTGCTTGTGATATTAATGATATTGTTTGATAATTTCTGCATTTGGTTGGATCACCTTTCTTTGGAATAGGCATAAATATTGATCTCTTGGCCAGGTAGCTGTCTTCCAAATTTATTGGCATGACTAGTGAGCAATTTCAGCACCGCTTCCGTTTGTTGAAACGTCTCAATTGGTATTCCATCAATTCCTGGAGCCTTGTTTTTCACCATTGCCTTTAGTGCACCTTGGACTTCTTCCTTCACTACCATCAGTTCTTGATCATATGCTGCCTCCTGAAATGTCTGAACGTCAACCAGTTGTTTTTAATACAGTGACTCTGTGCATTCCTTCCATCTTCTTTTGATGCTTCCTGCATCATTTAATATTTTCCCCGTAGAATCCTTCAGTATTGCAACTCAAGCCTTGAATTTTTTCTTCAGTTCTTTCAGCTTGAGAAATGCCGAGCGTGTTCTTCCCTTTCGGTTTTCTAACTCCAGGTCTTTGTATAGGTCATCATAATACTTTACTTTGTCTTCTTGAGCCACCCTTGGAAATCTTCTGTTTAGCTCTTTTACTTCATCATTTCTTCCTTTCGATTTAGCTACTCAAAGTTCAAGAGCAAGTTTCAGAGTCTCTTCTGACATCCATTTTGGTCTTTTCTTTCTTTCCTGTCTTTTTAACGATCTCTAGCTTTCTTCTTGCATGATGCCGTTGATGTCATTCCACAACTCATCTGGTCTTTGGTCATTAATGTTCAATGTGTCAAATCTATTATTGAGATGGTCTTTAAATTCAGGTTGGATATACTCAAGGTTGTGCTTTGGCTCTCTTGGACTTGTTCTAATTTTCTTCAGCTTCGGCTTGAACTTACATATGAGCAATTGATGGTCTGTTCCACAGTTAGCCCCGGCCTTGTTCTGACTGATGATATTGTGCTTTTCAATCATCTTATCGTCTCATTGTGCTCTTATGAATAGCAGCGGAACATTGTCTGATATAGTGCCAGAAGATGATCCCCGCAGACTGGAAGGCACTCAAAATATGACTGAGGAGGAGCTGCCTCTCAGAGTAGAGTTTACCTTGATGATGTGGATGGAGTCAAGCTTTTGTGACTTCATTTACTGATGTGACATGACTCAAAATGAGGAGAAACAGCTGCAAACATCCATTAATAATTGTAAGGTGAAATGTACAAAGTATGAATCTAGGAAAATTGGACATCATTAAAAATGAAATGAAACACATAAACATCAATATTCTAGGCATTAGTGAGCTGAAATGGACTGGTATTGGCCATTTTGAATCGAACAGTCACATGGTCTGCTATGCCAGGAATGACAAATTGAAGAGGAATGGTTTGCATTCATCACCAAAAAGAACATTGCAAGATCTATCCTGAAGTACAGTTCTGTCAGAGGATAATACCCAAACACCTGCAGGGAAGACCAGTTAATACAACTATTGTTCAAATTTATGCACCCACCACTAAGGCCAAAGATGAAGAAATTGAAGATTTTTACCAGCTTCTGCAGTCTGAAATTGACCAAACATGCAGTCAAGATGCATTGATAATTACTGGTGATTGGAATGTGAAGTTTGGAAACTAAGAAGGATTGGTAGTTGGAGAATATGGCCTTGGTGATAGAAATGTCACTGGAGATTGCATGATAGAATTTCGTAGGACCAACAACTTCTTCATTCCATTACCTTTTTTCAGTAACATGAACTGCAACTGTACACGTGGTCTTTGCTGGATGGAATACACAGGGATCAAATTGACTACATCTGTGGAAAGAGATGATGGAAAAGCTCAATATCATCAGGCAGAACAAGGCCAGGGGCCAACTGCGGAACACTCTATCAATTGCTTTTTGACTAGTGATATATATTTAACTATTTAGCTAGCTAAATAGTGATTTGAATGAAGTATGTTTCTTGCGCTATCAAGTATTTGTTGTATTATTGATTGCTGAGTTAGCATATAATTGCAAATATATATTTAATACTAGAATGTAAATTTATCAAACATTGAATGAAAGTTGGCATGAAAAGATTTATGTACAGGGGTGTCCCATCTTGTTTTAAGTTTGGCTGTACTTCTGTGACTATATAGATTTAAAAAGAATGTATGTTTACATTTTATGTTCTCATTACTTGTACTGACACCTGATCAACAGAAGTAATGAAATATTTTTTGATGGAGTCTAAATTATTTATTATTTTTCTCAAGTACTTTCAAACATATAATTTGTTTTAAAAAACATTTTGAACATACAAGGTATAGTGTATTTATGCACAGGTGTGTACCTTGTTACTAGCTGCTAAGCATAGAGTCTTCGTGCCTAAGACTGGCTTGTGTCCTTGAACGGGAGTTATAAGCATAAATGATGCCAGGAGTATATGATATTCCTATAAGGAGTTTTAAATAGGACCTTAAATTCTTTACTAAGGACCTGATGTCCACACTTCTTTAAAGTGACCCTAAGACCAAAGTGCTATAAATCAGTTGAATCAAGCAGTACAGTAGCCTATTATTCAACGAATATTTATTAAATACCTACTGTATTCCATTATGCTATTACGCATAATGGAAGATAGCAGAATAAATTAGCCACAATCCACGCTCTCAAGGAGCTTAATGTAGCACAGAAAGTACTTTGGGATCAGCATTTGAATTTTGGTTTTCCGCATTTACTAGGTACATGACTTTGGGCAAGTCATTTAATTAATTAATTATTTCTGAGTACCAGCTTCCTTGTCTATACAGTAAGTATGACAGTACCTTTCTTGCATGGTTGTCAAGTTTAGAAGTAATATATTTAAAGTACCTAGCACAGTTTTTGGTCCATAGTAAGTACACAGTTAATGGTTACTGTTATTGTTACCGCGCAAGGAGTTCCTACTAAATGTTAAAGTATTTTCCTTTTTGCTTACATCTGCTAACATAAAGTTGTAGTCACTATTGTATAATATCATTTAACTTGGAGGAAGTGATCTCTGTTATCCCTACTGAAATCAACAAGTAGGTAAACAATCATTCATAAAATTCATTTTGACTTCTTTGTACAGATTTCAGTAAGGGTACTTGAGAGAGTTGGGGCTTTAGAGGCTGGGATTTGTTTCCTCAAAACCAGTTGAACATATAGATGAAAGCCAGTCATAGCGATCAACCTTTTAGTATCTGAATAGTAACTGGTTACAAGTTGTTGAACTCTATAGTTCCAAAGGTGGGTTAAGTTTTTATTAGAAAAAAATTTTCATGTATAAACAAAAGTAGAAAGAATAGTATAATGCACTGCCATGTACTACCCATCATCCAGCTCCAACAGTTACTGACGAAGTGTGGTATAGCAGAAACATTTCAGTTATAATTATGATATTTCTAGCTCCATATCAGTGTTTCTCTGATTTATTCTTTTTAATCCCATGTGAGTCTAGTTAGAATGCAATCTTAACATTTGCTCCTATTAATCTTTTGCTGTTTGTTTGGATTAATAGTCAAAGATTTATTTTCAGTAAGTATCACAAAAATTTTTTAGGACACTTTTTTTAAATCACAAGATCGAAAGAAAAATGCATGGCTTTATAACTTTTTTTTAAGGGAAAGCGTTAAATATGCTGGGTAGACTATATTTTGTTCTGTCTTTGTTTTTAAGGTTTGGCTTGAGCAACAAGTTTGATACTGAATTTCCCTCAGTTCTAACAGGGAAGGTAAGTGAGAGTTCACTTTGAACTTTTCCATTCTAAAAGCATTGTCTTATGGCTTATTCGGTGATAAATGCTTTGGCCCATGGGTAGTGAAGTCAAATAACAAGAGGCCAGGGTACTTACAGTCTGTGTTGTTTGTGACTCAAAGCTGCTTCCATGACTACTAGCCTATGACCGTTATTTTGTTCATTGTCTGTTAATGCCAGTCATATTTATCTGTTCAGCTTTTCTCAGCACAGGTAGCGATAAAAATCTATTTTTGTTTTGGTCGGTAATTTCCAGTATTTTTCAGTTTGGACCTCTTATTTTAACTTTGTATCATTCTGTTATTTCTTAAGGTGCCATATGGTATGAATTGTTATGCACGAAAGGAGTCAAAATTTTGATTGGACATTTTCTTACCTTTTATATAGTTTGAGATTCTAAAATTGGACTCACTGCAATAACGTACTTTTTATTACTTTTCTGTTCCCTGTTCTTCTACATTCAGTAATTATCTTTTAGCATTGAGGATCAATACTCAGTCTTCCTAGGACTCAAAACTGTTTGGAAAATGTAGTACAACAGTACTCCTAACTTTCTAGGTCCAAAGGAGAAGGCTCTGACTAAGGCAAAAAGTTACTTACACTCTTTTGAGATTACTTGAGGAAATGCAGAAGAGGAGAGAAAGCCATTAGATTACAAAATGCTCAATAATTTCCAAAGGCCTAGTAGCTGAATGCTTGGGTAGCTAAAATGATGATTTGGGGTTAAAAGAAGTTACCTTTTTGTATTTTGAAGCCTGTAATTTAATTTCATTTAAAATTAAACTAAAAGTTTTTATAAAGATAATGTTCTACATTCTACCTTGGTGAGTAGCATCTGGGGTCTTAAAAGCCTGTGAGCAGCAATCTAAGATACTCCACTGGTCTCACCCCTTTGGGAGCAAGGGAGGATGAAGAGAACAAGATACAAGGAAAAGATTAGTCCAAAGGACTAATGGACCACAGCTACCATGGCCTCCACCAGACTGAGTCCAGTATAGCTAGATGGTGCCCAGCTACCACCACTGACTGCTCTCACCGGGATCACAATAGAGGGTCCTGGACAGAGCTGGAAAAGGATGTAGAACAAAATTCTAACTCACAAAAAAAAAGACCAGATTTACTGGCCTGGTAGACTGGAGAAACCCCAAGAGTATGGCCTCTGGACACCCTTTTAGCTCAGTGATGAAGTCACTCCCAAAGTTCACCATTCAGCCAAGGATTGGACAGCCTCATAAAAGAAAATGAGACTAATGAGGCACAGCAGTCCAGGGACAAGGACTAGAAGGCAGGAGGGGACAGGAAAGCTGGTGATAAGGAACCTAAGGTTGAGAAGGGACAGTGTTGACATGTCATGGGGGTGTTAACCATTGTCATAGGGCAATATGTATACTAACTGTTTAATGAGAAACTATTTGTTCTGCAAACCTTCATCTAAGGTACAAAAAAAAGAAAGGAATTATCTGTGTGAGATCAGGTTGACAACAGCAACTCAGAAGGTTTGATGGGAAGCCTCAGGGGCAGTTAGTTGAAGATAATGGTGATGGAATAATTTGGAAAAGGATAGTGAGAATAGCAGCACAACTGGAAGAATGTAATCCATGTCACTGAGTTCAAACTTTTGAAATGGTGTAACTTTGGCTATGTATATTTTCACCAAAAAAAGGTCCTCCAAGGTCAAGGGAGAGTGTTGACATGTCGTGGGGTTATTAACCAATGTCGTAAAACAATATGTGTACTGTTTACTGAGAAACTATTTGTTCTGTAAACCTTCATCTAAAGTACTGTAAAAAAATTTTTTTTTAAAGTTTAATATTGGTATTATTTTAGTACTAGAATAATGCTATTGTCAGTGGAGATTTTGGTCATATTTTAAAATCATTCAATTCTCTAAAGGGCTTTTATGATACTTTAGTGTTAATTTTTCTCTTATATTGTTTGTGAGAAAAGTAAGATGTGAGTCAGTGTGTATAGTATATATAAGAAAAAGCAGAAATAAGCACATTCTTATTTGTATTTTTGCATAAAGAAACTATAGAAGGATATACATGAAACTGATGAAAGTGATTATGCTTGGCAGGGGAAGAGGAATGAGATGGATGGAAGCAGGGGTGGGAATGGGACTGTTTATTTTAATATCTTTTACTATTGTTTTGATTTTTGAACCAACCTGTTGAAACTTTAATTTATCTTTAATTTGTCCTCTCTTGTTTTAAACTCTTTTCAAATGGGATACGGTCCTTCTGCTGATATTTGTTCCTTTTGTTTCCTCTAAATTTTATTTATTTTGTTGTTGTTGAGAATATACACAGTAAAACATACACTGATTCAACAGTTTCTACCTGTACAATTTAATGACATTGATTACTAGTGACATTGATTATATTCTTCAAGTTGTGCAGCCATTCTCACACTCCTTTTCTGAGTTGTTACTCCCTCATTAACATAAACTCACTGTCCCCTATGGTTGATATCTAATCTTTTGAGTTGCTATTGTCAATTTGATCCCATATAGATAGTTCTTAAAAGAGTATAATGTTCAAGACAGACCTCTTTTACTAGTTAAGCTAAACTATTGTTTGGTTTTAAGAAGACTTCAGGGGATATTTCTGGTTTAAGGTTTAAAGATTATCTCAGGGCAGTAGTTTCAGGGGTCCATCCAGCCTCCATGGTTCTATAAAGTCTGGAGTCCATGACAATTTGAAATTCTGTTGTGCATTTCCCCCCTTTTAATCAAAATTTTTCTATGGAATCTTTGTTCAAAATTTTCCATAGTGGTAGCCAGGCACTATCCATTTCTTCTGGTCTCATGGCAAAGGTGGCAGTTATTCATAGAGGCAATTAGCCACACATTACATATCCTCCTATTCCAGACTAGCCTTCTTCCTCTGTTTCTCCAAGTGAATAGAGACCAATTGTTGTGCCTTGGATGGCCACTTACAAGCTTTTAAGATATTGGTTACTTTTTGTCATGTTTTTTTCATGATGCATTTTCCAGCTGCTTACCCTTCTCACCTTTGGCCTAATCCCAGTCTTCCTCCCAGCTTCCTTAGGGAAACAAAAGAGAAAGATACCAGACATACTTCTTTTTTCAAAGAGTGTCTCTGAGATCATAAGAAATTATATTCAATTTAATACTAAAAGATAGTTTACACTTTAATTACTTCATTTTTCCCCCTTGAAAAATGAGAGCTAGCTTAAGACTATTCATAAAGTTTTCACTGGCCAATTGAAGCAGAAGTCAGGAAATCAAACAGTGTATTGCATTGGGCAAATCTGCTGCAGGAGACCTCTTTACAGTGTTGAAAAGCAAAGATGTCACCTTGAGAACTAAGGTGCACCTGACCCAAGCTGTGATATTTTCAGTCGCCTCATATGCATGAGAAAGCTGGACAAAGAATAAGGAAGACTAAAAAGAATTGATGCCTTTGAATTATGGTGTTGGGGAAGAATATTGAATACACCATGGACTGCCAGAAGAATGAACAAATCTGTCTTGAAAGAAGTACAGTCAGAATGCTCTTTAGAAGGAAGGATGGCGAAACTTCGTCTTATGTACTTTGGACATGTTATCAGGAGGGACCAGTCCCTGGAGAAGGACATTGTGCTTGGTAGACTAGAGGGTCAGCAAAAAAGAGGAAGACCCTCAATGAGATGGATTGACACAGTGGCTGCGGCAATGGGCTCAAACATAGCAATGATTGTGAGGCTGGCACAGGACTGGGCACTGTTTTGTTCTGCTGTACATAGGGTCGCTATGAATTGGAACTGACTCAACGGCACGTAACAACAACAGCTTCAGACAGTATACAAAAAAAAATTACCCGTTGCCATCAAGTCAATTCCGACTCATAGTGACCCTGTACGACAGAGTAGAACTGCCCCATAGGGTTTCCAAGGGTGAATTCAAACTGCTGACCTTTTAGAAGGCAGCCAAAGCTTAACCACTGCACCACCAGGGCTCATAGTTAAACAAGCTTTGAAGTAGATCTGGATTGGAATCCAAATTCTGTAATTTACTGCTGGCTATTTGGCCTTGGGCAAGTGATTTCTGAGCCTTAGTTCTTATGTGAAAAAGAGATGATGATGATGGTTACCTCATCTCTCATTGTAGTGATTAAATGAGAGCTCATATATAAAAGCCCTAGTATATTGCCAAGGAACTCTGATGGTGTAGTGGTTAAGCACTCGGTTGCTAACCGAAACGTCAGCAGTTGGAACCCACCAGCCACTCCACAGGAGAAACGTGGCAGTCTGCTTCCATAAAGATTACAGCCTTGGAAACCCTGTGGGCCAGTTCTACTCTGTCTTACGGGATCACTATGGTAGAAATGACAGCAACAGGGTAGTTACTGCCAGGTGCATATTAGCATCCCAGTAAATGTTAGTTTGTGGTTGCTGTTGACCATTCTTTATCACTTTATCTCAGTTTCACCCTGATTATTTTTCCAATTTTCTCTATTCACTGGCTTTCAATTTTAATTGCTTTTGCTACTTTTACGTTCTTCATCTATATAACAATTTGTCCTATTGACCTTTTCTGTCTCTCTTTATAAAGCCAGATACTTCCAAGTAATAATAAACAGGATGATGATAGTCCTTGGCTAAATTAACATTAGAAAACAAGTGACCTTTTAATTTTTCGGGACACAGAGGACTCTTTGATCTGAGATTTTAGCCTTGCTCTCTAGTATGTTCTCACTCCTATCCTGATCATTTATATAATAATTCACTAATTGAAGCATCAGCTTAGACTTAGATGAGTTTTGTATGACTTAATAATAAATGTTTTCTCCAAATGGAAAAAATAGCCATGGAAAACCTCTTGAATAATGAAATTCAGTGAAACCAGTAAGAGCCAGAACTCAATGGGATGCCTTGATTTTCTGGGTCTTGCAAGTTTTCTGCCTTTGACAGGGTACAGTCTTACCACTTTTCTATCACTCATTTTAGTGAAAAATATTTGACTTTTCCTTCTCT